ATAATATATAAATAACAGCATAAGTGGTTTAGAAATTTAACTCCAAAATGAACAATTCATTATTATTTTTTAGGAAATTGGGCGGTTGTTTAATGAATCCTGAAATTAAGATTCAACTTTTGAAATAAGAAAATCAGTTCCTTTATTATTTATAATTAGGCCTCTAGCATTCTTGGGCCTATATTGTACAACATTTTCACTTCGGACCTCCCTTATTTACCTCCAGGTTGCCATAAATCTTTGTTCGCCGATGACACAGGTATTTATGCTAAAGGAAGAAAAGTTTAGATATTTTATCATCTTATTTACAAAAATGAAATATTTCTCCCAACGCTTCCAAAACTCAACTTATAATATTTCCACATAAGCTTAGAGCTCCCTTTCCTAGTAGTAGTCACATAGTCACTATGAACGGAGTTCCAATTTCCTGGTAAAACCAAGTGAAATATCTTGGATTAGTACTAGACCAAAAATTAACTATTAAATGAAGTAATGAAATTGGGTTGTTAGCGGAATGCTTTAATAAAACAGCAAAAAAAGGTTATCTTCCATTTAATTCCACTTAATTAATTTTGGTATCCATGACAGATACGTATTTCGACTACAATGTGCAGTCTTCATCAGTGTCATTCCCACTAAAGAACTTATCAAAATCTAACCCCCTTAAGTACTCATCCCCTAGGTATAAAAGTCAAGATCACAGGTATATAAATGAAACTACAATGTGTTGAATCGGAACCTACCTAACTAATTAAAACCAAAGATTTAAGTAAGCTAAAGGAGAAAAATCTATTCAACTCTCTAATAAGGGCTTGGTAGCCATCATAATGAAGTAATGAAATTGGGTTGTTAGCGGAATGCTTTAATAAAACAGCAAAAAAATGTTATCTTCCATTTAATTCCACTTAATTAATTTTGGTATCCATGACAGATACGTATTTCGACTACAATGTGCAGTCTTCATCAGTGTCATTCCCACTAAAGAACTTATCAAAATCTAACCCCCTTAAGTACTCATCCCCTAGGTATAAAAGTCAAGATCACAGGTATATAAATGAAACTACAATGTGTTGAATCGGAACCTTACGGAAGCTTACTTAAATCTTTGGTTTTAATTAGTTAGGTAGGTTCCGATTCAACACATTGTAGTTTCATTTATATACCTGTGATCTTGACTTTTATACCTAGGTTGTGTTTCATTTATATACCTGTGATTGTGTTTCATTTATATACCTGTGATCTTGACTTTTATACCTAGGGGATGAGTACTTAAGGGGGTTAGATTTTGATAAGTTCTTTAGTGGGAATGACACTGATGAAGACTGCACATTGTAGTCGAAATACGTATCTGTCATGGATACCAAAATTAATTAAGTGGAATTAAATGGAAGATAACCTTTTTTTGCTGTTTTATTTATAACTATTAAAGTTCGCATTGAGGGCATTCAAGCCAAATGTAACAAATATATAAAATGTTTGTATTGTCTTACAAACAGGAAATCCAAACTAATATTTAAACAAGTTTTTAGACCAGCCATGATGTACGCTGTGCCATTATGGTCTAGTTATTGCACTACCAGGAAAAAAGCACTTCAATGGACTTAGATATATATCATAACAATTAAGACTTAGTACTGTTACTGTAATAAAGGCTCACTAAAAGTAAATTGGTACGCCTCTCGCGTGCCACTAGCACGCCTCTAGTGTTGGGAATCTAAAATATTTGACAGTGGTTTGTTTACACTTCTATAGAGAACAACTAGTGCAAGTTTGATCAAAGTAGTCAATCGCGTTCAGAGATAACGTCAAATGGAACTGGAAAGAAGAAAAAAATATTAGGCACAAACACCTGAAAAATACGGAGCTAAAGTGCTGAAGATGCCGAAAAAAAAACAGTTTGTCGAGTGCTCCTACCTAAAAAGATACCCTGAGTGTGAAAAGGAATCAGCGGACCGACGAAAAAACTGGAACCAGGGATGGTCAGCTGCGCAGCAAGGTGTACAGGTGCGTTAAAGACAACCCCGGTCTTTCGATCCGAGATGTGGCCAGAAGGTACAACGCCAACTTTCAAACGGGATATCCTTGCCAGGGAAGGATACAAGTCGTACAAAGCCAGTAAACATCTCAACCGGCACATGAAGCAGAATTCCGTGGCCAAAAAGCGTGCAAGCCTCTTGTACGACCGTGTTTTGACGAAACACAAGGGCTGTACTTCATTATGATGGCTACCAAGCCTTTGGGATTTTCCTTATTAGAGAGTTGAATAGATTTTTCTCCTTTAGCTTACTTAAATCTTTGGTTTTAATTAGTTAGGTAGGTTCCGATTCAACACATTGTAGTTTCATTTATATACCTGTGATCTTGACTTTTATACCTAGGGGATGAGTACTTAAGGGGGTTAGATTTTGATAAGTTCTTTAGTGGGAATGACACTGATGAAGACTGCACATTGTAGTCGAAATACGTATCTGTCATGGATACCAAAATTAATTAAGTGGAATTAAATGGAAGATAACCTTTTTTTGCTGTTTTATTAAAGCATTCCGCTAACAACCCAATTTCATTACTTCATTATGATGGCTACCAAGCCTTTGGGATTTTCCTTATTAGAGAGTTGAATAGATTTTTCTCCTTTAGCTTACTTAAATCTTTGGTTTTAATTAGTTAGGTAGGTTCCGATTCAACACATTGTAGTTTCATTTATATACCTGTGATCTTGACTTTTATACCTAGGGGATGAGTACTTAAGGGGGTTAGATTTTGATAAGTTCTTTAGTGGGAATGACACTGATGAAGACTGCACATTGTAGTCGAAATACGTATCTGTCATGGATACCAAAATTAATTAAGTGGAATTAAATGGAAGATAACCTTTTTTGCTGTTTTATTTATAACTATTAAAGTTCGCATTGAGAGCATTCAAGCCAAATGTAACAAATATATAAAATGTTTGTATTGTCTTACAAACAGGAAATCCAAACTAATATTTAAACAAGTTTTTAGACCAGCCATGATGTACGCTGTGCCATTATGGTCTAGTTATTGCACTACCAGGAAAAAAGCACTTCAATGGACTTAGATATATATCATAACAATTAAGACTTAGTACTGTTACTGTAATAAAGGCTCACTAAAAGTAAATTGGTACGCCTCTCGCGTGCCACTAGCACGCCTCTAGTGTTGGGAATCTAAAATATTTGACAGTGGTTTGTTTACACTTCTATAGAGAACAACTAGTGCAAGTTTGATCAAAGTAGTCAATCGCGTTCAGAGATAACGTCAAATGGAACTGGAAAGAAGAAAAAAATATTAGGCACAAACACCTGAAAAATACGGAGCTAAAGTGCTGAAGATGCCGAAAAAAAAACAGTTTGTCGAGTGCTCCTACCTAAAAAGATACCCTGAGTGTGAAAAGGAATCAGCGGACCGACGAAAAAACTGGAACCAGGGATGGTCAGCTGCGCAGCAAGGTGTACAGGTGCGTTAAAGACAACCCCGGTCTTTCGATCCGAGATGTGGCCAGAAGGTACAACGCCAACTTTCAAACGGGATATCCTTGCCAGGGAAGGATACAAGTCGTACAAAGCCAGTAAACATCTCAACCGGCACATGAAGCAGAATTCCGTGGCCAAAAAGCGTGCAAGCCTCTTGTACGACCGTGTTTTGACGAAACACAAGGGCTGTACTTTGATCGATGACAAAACATACGTCAAACTCGATTTCAGGCAGCTTCCCGGTCAAAAGTTTTACATCGCGACTAGACGTGGGGATATGCCGGGAAGATTCAAGTTCGTATTTGCCGACAAGTTCGCGAAAAAGGCCATGATTTGGCAAGCGATTTTCAGTTGTGGCATGAAAACAGAACCATTCGTACGATCCTCCAAGTTTACATCGAAGAATGCCTGAAAAAGCGTGTATTGCCGTTCATCCGCAAGCATAGGGGTAAAGTCATTTATGGCCCGATTTGGCCAGCTCCAAGGTGGTTCTGGAGTGGTATGCTACCAACAAGATCGATTTTGTCCCCAAGCTAATGAATCCTCCGAATTGCCCGGAATTTCGACCAATCGAAAAATACTGGGCAATTTCGACGAAGTAGTGGAGCAGTCAAAGACATCCAGCAAATGCGGGCAAAATGGAAGAAATGTGCTGATTCCGTGTCCGTTTCCACTGTGCAGGCGCTGGTGGGCTCCATCAAGAGGAAGGTTCGAGATTTCGTTCGAACTGGAGAAATGTAACCATCTAATGCTGTAACTTTGAAGTTTTAATAAAAGTACTGTAAAGCAACCATTAATGGACTTTTTAAACTTATTGAACCACGATTTGCATGTATTTTTTTACGTACCAATTTACTTTTAGTCAGCCTTTAGCTGGAGCACCTAGGTTAAAATGAAATGTAATTTATTTTCAATTTGGAACAAATAAAGAGTTAAAAAAATACTTTTGGGTACTTTTTTCTTATCGTATAGGTCAATGAATCGAGAGAAAAAATAACATTGAGTATTAAGTGGCCCCGGCTCAACTCTCTGTTCTCTCGAGCGAGCGAGCACGAGATTGGTTGATTACGGCTGAAAACGTTGATAAATTTTCAATAGATAACCATTGATTAACAACTATACTTTATACCAATCAAATCTTACATTCAACCTGCAATCTAAAAAAAATACAACCAACCTGTAGAGATGAACTAGCCTTCGGCTAAAAATCTCTAAAATAAAGATTAAAAAAACATCAAACCTGAATCAAATGGTGTAATTAAAATTGAATTTAATTCATCATGTTATCAGCATTCGAAACCTGACACAATTTCGTCAGACGATTTTTTTTTTGAGTTGGACCCCAGACGTAGTCCTACTTCAAAAGTTCGAAAATTGATTGCTGAACAACAGGGAAATCTAGAACAGCATGTATTACATGAGCAATGCAACAGTTCTACAAGAGCTGATTGAACCCTAGCTATCAGCTATCCTACACTTAGTATGCAATATTCTACAAATACATACCCTTGAGGCGATAATCGGTTGCTGCGGTTCAAGCTTCTTGTTTCTCCATTCTCATCCTTTGAGCTACCGGAGGAGCTGAAGCCGGCATTGGTCGATCCACTAGCACCTACTCTTCCATTGCTTCCTCCGCCTCCCGTCGCTGCTATCTGGCCATCCTCAATCATGTTCTCGTTGGCCACGATTTGTTCTAGCATTTGAATTTTCAACATTTTCACGGCTTTGGTATCTGTTATTCCCCTTATTTTTTCCTCGCCCTGATTTTTATTCCATTGATCTAATTTTCTCTCACCTCGTCTTCTTGTTACTATTCACATACAAAACTCCAGCTTTTTGTGTTGCCAGCGCCCACTACGGCGAAGGCTTCCATCACTGCTCATAATAATCTTTTTTTGACAAATCTGCTTATATTTACTTCAAACTTCTTTCACACCTTCTTCTTCATGGCACGGAAAGCGTACAACTTGCGCCTCTTCTTATGGTGCTTTACGCTTACGCTCGTGTTTAAACCGAATTGCGATTACACTTTCATTTCACTCTCCAACGGGCAAAACAGCGCGCAACGTGCACTTCTATTGTTCACCTGCTTCAGATATGGAGAATCAACGTTACCAGTCCAACTTAACCACAACGACCTCGCTACACCTGTCGCCAGTTTTGCTTGTCCTGGTACCGCGCAATCCCAGTCCGATCATCATCAACAACACTTTTTGGCTTTCCATTCCTCCTTCGAAAAGCAGTAATGCATCAGGTATCATTGCGCTGAAGATTGCAATTTCTGGTACACTCAAACCACTGCACTACAAGTACCTACAAACGAAAGAAGAGCAGAAAGGTAATTTTAATCAATTTTGTGTTTTGTGTGCTACTACTGGTTGTGATTGGTGTTTTGGTCGCGAACAAACGTATAGCAATCGATCGCAATGATGGTGTGGTGGCACACTGTTTGGAAGGATGAACTGATCAATCGATAGATATACATCGAACGAACGTTTAACTTTCTCGAATATACCAACTAATGGCTGGCTAGAGGCTATAGGCAGTGCGATAGATTAACGCTGGCTAACATACATGAAGCTTGTGCACGATAAAAATCGGATACACATAAACAGCTGTAACTTTTTAACTATTGTACAAAATAACTTTAAATTTACAGATAGCAGTTCATAGATAATACTGGACAAGTAAAAGAATGTGTGTGATTCAACTACGAACTTTGACTTGGATTTTGATAGAACGGGTGTTCAATAAAAAATGAAAAAAATTTCAGTCATATAGCTAGTAAAAAAAAATTTCAACGAATTCAGCATTCAGCAAACATAATGTTTATTCTTCAAAAAACGTCAATGAAGATTGGAGAATCAAAATATCATGGCTATATTATCGAACATATTTTGGTATATTTTTTTATTTGAAATTGTATATGTAAACGCTACTGAATGTAATATGATCGAATGAGAAGTATAGTATTTATAATTATGTATCATTTTCAAATCAAAACATGATATTTTCGATTGGGATGTCAAGTCTCTGAAAATAAAATCAAGCATAAAGGAATCAGAAGTACACATAAATAAAAAAAAGTAAGAGGTTGTATCCAAGACACGACCATAGATTTGACGTAGGATTACGAAAGGTAGTATAGCAAAAGTATAGTAAATATTAAATTGATTTCGTACAATTGTAGAAATTTGAATAGATTGAACTGCCCATCAATTTTGGTATTCAAAAATGAAATCTGCATACCGGACAGTACTTACCTTTATGCTTTTAGATGCAAATTTTTAGCCCCTCCTACTAAGAGAATTCGGCACGATTAGATTTTGGCATAATTCTCTTAATAGGAGGGGCTTCAAATTTGCATCAAAAGGCATAAACATAGGTACCGTCTAGCATGCTATCACGGTATCATGGAAAATCTTCGTTTTATGATGACGTAATCCCGCATTTCTGTGCACAAAACGCACGGAATTTTTAGCTTTTTCTATAAATGAAAAATATGCGAAAATTGATTGTAGGAATCTAAAATGGGATACCTCGACAAATGTTCAAATAATACTCTTTAAAAAATTTATGGTGGTCCTGAGAAGGGCCGTTTTGTCGTGATGGTTGAGTAATGCTGAGCTGGGTGTTTAACACTGATGAGGCTGTCGAGCTGTATGTTGTTTGAAGCGAGGGTGACACGCTTGGCATAGATGACCGACCCCCGCACGGAGCGACTAACGAAGAGCTACTGATTCTGATTCTGATTCCAAGCGGTGGTGCTTCTTCTTCCTATAGTTGCTTATGTGGGCTCTGCAGCTCGCTGTTTGCAGGCAACCTTTCGTAGCGTACGGGAGAAAACGCGCCGAAAGCATTGCTGCTGCTGCTGTTACTGCTACTGCTGCTGCTGCTGTGGACACCGTCGACCGGACACCACCGCACAAGGTGATTGAATGAGCACCATTCAGTGAGACAGGATTGAATTCGATTTTTAAATCTGTGTTAGGGAATGCGCTGATTTCAGGCAATCGGTGATAATTTTGATCACCATTGCAACAGTCGGGCATTTGTGTATTTTTCAATAGTGACCTATTGAAAATTAATAGTGTTCATTTTAGCAGATTGGTAGATAAATTTCCAATCGTTTGGTTTGTTTAGAATTAAAATCCATCTGCTATTGGAAGAAACCTGACCAATTCAGGCCTTACATTAATTTGATAACGGCACAAAAGCATTTGTAAACAAACTTTCTAAGGCCTTTTACACGCAAACCAAAGTATGCCCGTGCAAACCAACAACATCATCGGATAGGGGCAACTATCACCTTTCCGAAAGTGGTATTGGTTTGCGTGGGCGTACTTTGGTTCGCATGTAAAGGGCCTTAGAAAGTTTGTTTACAAATGCTTTTGTGCCGTTATCAAATGTCATGCCTGAATTTTCTAAATGCGGTCGATTTTGGTTTTTTTTTTGTTAATCCTGTGGAGATCTATTTAGCCCTGACGTACGTAATTTCAAGTAGGTCCTAAGTAACATTGACAAATTCTCTTCGTCCACTTTCTCTTTGCATCCCCACGGCCATGTAAAGATATACCCAGGTATTTTCAGCACACAGATCGATAAAAGAAGCTTTTATCCAGCATCTTATACGACAAACACATCAAGAAACGGTTATATGCTCAAGTTATTAAAGAGAAAGAGAAAGTCGACGAAGAGAATCGATTAATGTTACTTAGGACCTAATGCAATGTTCAGCTGGATTTGTGAATGTAAAACAAATCCTAGCTAGCTCTGCATGATGATTTTGTTTGATTGTATATTTTGTAAAGCCGCCGGGAAATACCAGCTGGTGGTTTGTTCTTTTTATATGATATCTCCTTACTAGAAAACAGGCAAAAACTCACAAACAGGCTTCTTTTCATGGTATACAGTGTGATAATTAAGTAATCAATTAATCTCAATTAATTATCTCAACATCTGCCACTAACCATTCATAAATTTCGGTAACATACAAGAAATTCAATAATCCATATTAAATTTCCTATGTAAGCGTCGATCGAAACAAACTTTTTGACGTCACTACAAGGGTGATTGAGTAAACGAATGAAACTAATCGTGCGAAGCGGAATGAACATCGAGTGAAAACGAATTGCACTAATACATTCAGGCCTACAATTCCACACCTTCTATAGACCAGGTTGAGCTTTGATAATTAGCTGCTTGCGGGAACTGACATCCGATTGATGACATACTCTTTAACAAATTTGTGGTGGTCCTGAAAAGGACCGTTTAGTCGTGATGGTTGAGTAATGCTGAGCTATTAGGGTGTTCAACAAGGATGAGGCTGGCGAGCTGTTAATTGTTTGGAGCAAGGTTGACGCGCTAGGCATTGATGACCCACAGCTACTCACGAGGAAACTGATATCGATCGCGACGCGGCTTCTTCTTCCCTTCTATGGATGCTCGCTGCTTTCAGGCTGCCTTTCGTGGTGTACTGGAGAACAATGTAAACGCCACACGCTGAAAGCAATGCTGTTGCTGATGCTGCTGCTGCTGCTGCTGACGTTGACGACCGGACACCACCACACACGGTGATTGAATGAGCACCGTTCAGTGAGACAGGATCGAATTCGATTTTTAAATCTGTGTTAGGGAATGCGCTGTTTGCAGGTAATCGGTGATAATTTTGATCACCATTGCAACAGTTGGACATTTGTGTATTTTTCAATAGTGACCTATTGAAAATTAATAAAGTGTTCAATTTAGCAGATTGGTAGATAAATTCCCAATTGTTTGGCTTGTTTAGAATTAAAATTCATCTGCTATTGACAGAGGTATATGTGGTCAAAACCTGACCTATTTTCGTCCCGCGGTCGATTTTGGTTTTTTTGAAATTGCACCCCCAATATGTTGCCGAAAGACGTAATCCTACGTCAAAAACATAGCGTAGTTCGTACGTAGGTTCAGTGTCCGCAAAAAACTCAAAAACTCAAATCTCATACATGAGTTTATTCGCCAACATGTTTTGCCATGTGAAATTCAACTGCACAATAATCACCGATAAGATTTCCGATTCAAAAATTCAATGCTTTATATGCTATCTATTTATGTTTGCGTTATTTGATGTAAAACTTACAAAACATACATGTGCATGCGATAGAATTGACATTTGAGCGATTTTTATGAGTTTTTACTTGGAATGAACTTTTGGCGTTGAGTGTGAGTGCGTGAAGATGAATGAGAATGAGAATTCATGAGAAGTTTTGATTTTCGGAACACTGCGTAGGCTTAAAAACTGAAAATCATAATAATATACGTCTGTGTAGGTGCCATCAACAAAGAGCTCAAACACTTTCAAAAGTAAAATTTTATAAAAAACTGTAAATATGGCCGGTCAATAAAATTATGTAACACAGACAACTTTCACGCTAGACAAATCTTGAGATAGGGTCCTGGTGGCGTCATCTCCCTGGCGTCAGTGATTGGCATTTGCGTCGTGGAATATCCGACGGAAAATTACATAGAAAAAAAATGTTTCAATTGTTTACAAACTATGGCGTTTCATGGTCTATGAAGAGTGGTATAAAGAGCCTTATTTTTTAGGGTTGGAATAGGTTAATTATGGCAAAATAAATCTAAATTCTTAGTTGTCATTTCTGACCAACGTCAAAATGTTATGTTACTATTTACAAAAAAAAATACCAACAAAAAAAATACCAAATGGTCCGTTACCAGCAGCAATGACGAATGAATTTCCTTGCATTACTGCTGATTTCAAATGTGAGATTGTTCTAAATATTCTAGATGGCACTTTTTTCTCTTGACTAAAACTCGACCTGCACAGAGATTACATGCGTACATTATGAACTAAATAATTTTCACTGAATGAATTTTCGTTTGGTATATAAGTTAAAAAGTTACAGCTGTGTTATGGATGTCCGATTTTTAACGTGTGCAAGCCTTATAAACACGCACGCTAGATAGTATTGCTTCGGCTACCGTTGGTTGAAAAAGAAATAGCTTGAGTTTTAATAAGCCGCCAAAAACGCACCAGAGAGAGTGAAAACTAATCAACAAAGCGAAAAATCAACAAAATTGGAATCGTTTTCGGTTTTTTGAGGCTAGGGAGAAAATTGTAAATTAGTTAGTTAAAATGCATTGATACAAATCAATCGTGCAAATATGTTTTGGAACTACGCTGTATCGTAGTTACTGAACCTATGTTAGTTCACAACACTACTCACATACGTTTTGCATGCTTCTGCCACTACAATGAGTACAAATATTATTAATATTCTCTTTTAATCGGCCTTAATTTAAACGAATCAATG